ATTCAAGGCACAAAGTAAAAAGGTTGGAAATGCTTCGTAAATCAAAGTTAACAATTAATGCTTACTTCATTATAACAAAAGGAAAAAAGAAGAAGTTATTTAGCGATGATTAATTGGGACTCAAACCACCTCTCTAATTGTGATGGAAAAAGCTTTGCGACACGACTTGTAAAATTTATGATTCACGTCAGTGGGCCCTACCAAGAAATTTGTATCACGCTATGTGCGTTTAGTTGGTAGATTCGTAACATGATTTGAATCATGATTCGTGGTTCGCTACAGTATTTTTTCTCATAAAAAACACACGTAAACTGAGAATATTTCTAAATCATAATTCTGAATCTATGAACCAAACGTCTACTAAAAGATTAAAAAATGAACATAAAAGACCTTATCCTTCCAAGATCCCTTGTCTCTTCCTTATCTAAATGGTCTGAGTTTTTTTTTTCTTTTTTTTATAAGGACTTTTTCAGCTTTTTTGCTTCATGAAGAATAGGAAAGGAATGTAATTTTTTTGTCTTTTCTTTGTTTACTCAAAAATGATGAACTGAAGCAAAACAAGGGAAAACTTGAATTTGTTTCCTCAAAAAAAAAAAAAAAAAAAAAAGGAAACAAAACTTGAATTTGAAGCTGGTGAGTAGTGGAAAGAGAGAAAAGATTGAAAATAAGATTTTAATTTAAATATGGATTTGAAAGTTGTAAGGACTTTTCTATGGAGAACTTGTTGGCCCCTTTCCCTTCCTTTTGCTAGGTTTTGTTCAGCAGATCTACTGGGAAAAAAATGAAAATCAAATATTGTTAGAAAGAAAAAAAAAATTAAGATAGTAGGTATGTGCATGATAGTTGGAATTTAAGGGGTTGTTCTTTTACAACAAAACTCAAAAAAAGTTTAAATTCAAATTATAACTTTATTCAAGTTCACGTTCTTTTAAGTTCCAACTTTATTCAACTTTACTCAACTTTATTCAAGTTACAACTTCAACTCAAGTTATAACTTAAATTCAACTCAAAAATTACACTCAAGTCACACTCCAAAAGAACAACCTCGAACCCGAATTTTGGGTAACTCAGAGGCGCGCGGTATTCTTGCATGGGAGTTTTTTTTTTCTTTTTTTTTTCTTTCTTGTACAAGAGATAGATTATATGTTAAAAATCTTTATTATTATTATTATTATTATTATTATTATTGCCATATGGCATATGAGACACACGGCATGTAAGGAAAGAAGGAGCGTAGGTCGTAAGGAGGGACGACTCGGGTTAAATAGAAGCCCTCAATTGTGATGTTAATTAAAATTATATCTAACCAACCAAATTGTGCCAAAAAATTTATACTGTTTTTAATAAATTTTTTTCATGTTTTTGATATTTGAGTCCATTAAACCACATGGAAACTTAACCAAGCAAAAGAAATTTAGCAATATTGCAAAAGAGTTTCATCTATAGCCGACGATTATCATTAATGAGCTAAAAACCGTACTTGCTAGTTGGTCGTGGATTAATTAACTAGAAAATGAAGTGGCAAGATGTCAATTAATGATTATATTCTAAAAACCCTCATTGCTAAATTGTGGTCTTTTGCATAAGTAAAACAAGATTTATTAATGTGTTCTATTTATAAAATGTGTAAATGCTTGACACATCACCCGATAGCTAGGAAAACCGTCATTTACAGAGGAAAAAAAAAAGATGCATGAAAAAAAAAGTGGAATAATGATAATTCATTTATATTCACATCTCAATCTTGACACGTATCTTACACAATCGATCCACTCTAACATGCATTGTGGAAATTTGTACAAAAGTTGTCGTATGCATTTATGAGAATTGAGATACTGCCGCCAAAAGAGAGTGTTGAAAACTATGACATTATTTAAGAAGAAAATTCATTAGATAAACACTTCACTTTTATGGAGCCTGAGACGAAAGCGCTATCGATTAATTGTGACAATATAGATTCAGAATTCCGCACTAGTGACATAGTGGTTAGATGGTCATAATATTAAATTCTAAAACGGTACGATGATGACAAAGTTAGAGGAAATGAATTAGACGCTGAATAAATTGTAAACATTTTTTATAACATGCATGAAATTTAACTGTTTCCAGAAATAATTACATTTTTTGTATATAAATTAATTTGAAAAAGTTTCATAATTATTTTATTGTTTGAAACAGATTTTGCATTGTGTCATCGTTACAAAGGAAGTCGACGCAATACCATTGATGTCAGGAATATAATTCTTTTTAATTTGTTTGACATTTTACTATAAAAAAAACCATGGTGAAATTTCATATTAAATGATTGACTTTTGCAAAATATTTTCGTGAGCTAATTTGGTTTTTGCTGAGTTGGATATTTGAATTTTATTGTGGTTTTTTTATGAGAAAATCCAAAACTTTATTCGCGGAAACCACATATTTACAGTACAAGAGTTGATTCAAAACCCTTTATAATTAACTTGATTGCCTTTATTTTGTACTTGCCCGGTTTTGATTATGAGCTATTACGTTAATGCAAAATATGAAAATCACAAGACGAGGACCTAATCTTCTTAAGAAGGTTGATTCTGGCGGAATAACATTACTCGCGAAGATTAAGTCATCATCTTTTGTTGGTTAGTTTCGGTACGATCTTTCTCTGGATGAATGATTTTTCTACTAGGTTTTCCCTTTCAGTTTTAATGAGACTTTAAGATCGTGTTTGGAATTGATCTTGTTTTTGTTTTTCACATTTTTCGAAAAAAAAAAATAAAAACGTTTCTAAAACGGTGTTTGGCGCAATAAAGACAAAAAACGGAAATGAAAATAATTTTTTGGTTTAGTGTAAAATGAGAGAGAAATGAAAAATGACTTTTAGTTGTTTTTTATTTTTTATTTTCATTTTCTCCTCTCTAGAGCAGAGAGGGAGAGATATTAATGAGTTTTCTTATACTGAAAATAATCTCTTGATAAAACTACCAAACGCATTTTTAAAAATGATTTCTATCTGAGATTGAAAATGTTTTTATTTTTATTTTCATAGAAAAAATAAAATTATTTTAGAAAGAGTTCCAAACGTGCTATAATATTCGAGTTTCACAAGATGAGAGTCGCAAAGGTTAAATATTAAACCATCATCTAACGTGGTCATATCATATTAGTTTTCCTCCTTGCTTCCGAATGTCATGTAAATATATATAATAACAATGGATTTGGTGTCAGCTTCTGAATTATCGCCTCATTTTGTAACAACGGTTAATAACAGTTGTCTAATATACTATTTCTACAAGCGTGCTCCCAACATTTTGTACTCATAACCATTTGTTTTAATTTTTAAGTTATTATTTGGTAGACATGTAATTAATGTCTTTAAATCTTAAAAGTTTCTAGTCAATTTTAAGGCTAAAGATCCGAACATAAAAAAAATAATAAATCCATTCAAGAAATAATTAACCTGCCAAAAATAAATATTAAGGACTAACCCTTGTTAACCATCAAAGTTAACAGGTCTGTAAGCTTTAATCCTACTTTAACATAAATAAATTAAGTCAATTGGAACAAACAAAAAATCAATAAATTAAGTAAAAAAAACATTAATCATCGATCTTTTTTGCTCAACTATCAATCAAATAGCTCTTAATTGATAGGTCATCGTGTTGTGTTTTTGTCAAATATATGAAAGAAAAATGTTAATTAAAGAGCACAACCGATAATAAACACCATATTAATAAAATGTCGATCCCACTTATAAATTTCACGCTACGGAACCCACATTCTACCTCTACTGCTACATTGTTTCACCAACATTGAAGCATCGTGTTTGACAGAAAGCAAGACAACGTTATACATATGCCGTAGAAGGTGCCCAATAAGCATGACGAATGTGGCAAAAAAGTAACATTTTTAAGTTAACAAAATAGTCAAAATCAATGCAACGAAAGTAGACCCACGATGACCATTTGTCCCTGGTCCCAGCGGAAAAATGGAAATTGTATTGCAATTCTGGTCTTGGACGTCGACAGACAACTTGGAGAACTGTGATTCATCCACAAAAAGAAATTGATACTTTATTTTGTTTTTTTTTTTTTTGGTAGAACGAAAAAGAAAATTTAATATTACTTGTTGAACTCTGTTAAGTACGTAAACAATGACGTCCGTAAGGAACAACTCAGATCATTTATAGCGCAAAAATTACACCAACGCATGTTCGTCTGTAAAATGTAATGAGTGAAGATAAAATATTTAAAAAGAAAAAATAGAGATCACTTATTATTTTAATGTTTATGTATTTTTAGAAAATATGATTTTAATGAAGGCAAATTTTTTTTTTGAGTGGGGCTAATAACTACAAGAAAAATTTTAAGGTGTAAGATTGTATTTTCAAACTTTCAGGTGGGGCTTTGTGTAATTGAAAAAAAAAAAAACAAAACAAAAAACAGTTGAGGGGGCTCAAGCCCCAGGTCTTTATTGGTACATCACTATAATTTTAAACAGTTGAAAAATTAAAGACTCTTTTAATTCGCTGATTTGAGTTTTTAATTTAAGTTGAGATGTGATTTTATGTGAGAGCTTTTTACTGTAATAAAAAAATTAAATGTGACTGTTTATAAAAACTTTTTATTATAATAAAACTCAAATTTTAAACTTAAATTAATTAAATGAACGGAGCCTAAATACAAAAATAATTTAAAAGTCTGTAATTTTGTCGTTAAAAACACTGGTACAACTACTAAATTGTATATCCTTGCTTGCACAGAAAAATTGTGAAATAAGGGGTAGTTTGTTGAATTCTAAAAAACAAACATGATAATGATTTATGATGGTCTTTTTTTTTTTCCCCTTTTAGTGCCTCAATAAATGCACATTCCTCTTTGTACAAGTAAAGAAATGACTCTGTTCTATAACATAATCGCCCTTGTTTCATGAATTAAAATGTTGAACTTATATACATATATATATATATATACGTATATATATATATATATATATTCGTGTATTTCTCTCTAGTTAGTGTTTAAATGGGCGGGGGACAGATTTACGAGGCTCTGCATGCGCTTAAGCCGGCGTTGCTAATGGTGGTGGTTCAGATTGCCTACGCCGGCGTCAACGTCTTCTACAAATTGGCTGCTAACGACGGAATGAATTTGAGGATCATTGTCGCTTACCGTTTTGTTTTCGCCACCGCTTTCATCCTTCCTCTTGCTCTTTTCATTGAACGGTACTATTAATATAATCTTGAATAGTATTATATGATCATTTGATCGGAGTACGTGCTTATGAAAATATTTCGAAAAACAAATTGCAATTTAGTTCTCTGTTTTTGTTTCCCATTTTGTTTTTTTATACGAAAAAAAGCTTTTGTGTAAAACATTAAAGGAGTATATATGTTGAGTGCATAAACGTGTGCGAGCGTTTATTTGTGTCCAAATTCTGACGATTTCATTTCTTGTTAATAAAGCACGAGTTAAAAAACTCACGCCGTTTTTTCCAGAACATTAAAGGAAATATTAAATGAAGAATGCTGAATTATCTAATAAAGTTTTCAATTTTTAGAAGCTGATTGTTGAAAGGGTAGTCTTGAGTGTCAGTTTATGCTGGTAGTGTGTCTTTTGAGTACTGTTTCTCTGTTTGCGATTATTTGCCGTAATTGTATTTTCTTCTTCTTCTTCTTCTTCTTCTTCTTCTTCTTCTTCTTCTTCTTCTTCTGCTTTTTTTTTTTTTCTTCTTCTTCTTCTTCTTCTTCTTCTTCTTCTTCTTCTTCTTCTTCTTCTGCTTTTTTTTTTTTTCCTCTTTGAACTTTGTATTTCCTTCTCATTTATTTTAGTAATACATGAGAGTGGAACTTGGTGTAGGAAAGATATAATAATCTACTTAGGATGTTTGTGCTTTATGTACTTTGCATCATCTTTTCATTCGAAAACATAAGGAAAGTGGAGTTATTCTTTTGACGCTATACAAATACAACTTTGAGATGTAATTAATTATAAAAAGGAACCTTGTTACCTTGAGATGTTTTAAGAAGCCTATAAGTGGTATTATTTTATTTCAGTTCTTTTCTGGTGTAAAGTACTAAAGATATGCATGATAGAAACAAATATTTATAAATGCAAACTATAAACGCACTACAAGAACATTATAACATAATGATATAATAATGACTGTGTAAACTAACAAGCTGGAAATCTTTTTCAGGAAAAGCAGGCCAAAGCTGACTTGGATGGTTCTTTTTCAGTCATTTTTATGTGCCTTATTTGGGTAAGTGTCAGCCAAAGCTTGGAAGCTGTCTTTTTAATTACGAGAAACTAATTTTAGCATATATATATATATATATTTATACACACACTTTCCACGGTCATTTAACGACCACCTTTTTTTTTTTTTTTTTTTTGAGCCGGGGTAGGGGGTGGGAGGGGATAATTTTATTAAACAAATTATAACCACTTGATAAAGCACGGTATCATTAACAAATATACATATATATATATATATATATATATGACATATAACTAACTATAAGGTGGTGGCTAAAGTTTAAATTGTCATGGAATCAATTCCATCTAAACTTATGCGGTATCCTTACATTGGACACCACGTAATTTCATTTGAAGTATCAGTTTATTTGAAGCCCTAATATGCAATTTTTATAGTTAATAAATCTGACATAGCAATAATCCTCTCATACAGTTTTATTAAAAAATCTAGCTATTTAATCACATGGAGAACGACTGGGAAAAGTCCCCACGGCTTTGGTTCAAAAATCTAACCAAAAGAGCATTTATGATTTTTTGCCTAAGCCCCCCAAAACTGTTTGAGCCGGCATTAACGAAACCACGTAGATGGAGGCCGTTTAGTTTGTCGATTCGAGTTTTTAATTCAAGTTGAGATATGACTTTATGTGGGAGCTTTTAACTGTAGTAAAAAAGTTTGATGTGACTTTTTGTGAAAGTTTTTAACTGTAGCAAAACTAGAATTAAAAACTCAAATCAGTGAAATGAACGAGGCCGGAGCTCGTTCAAAAACCATTTTAGTATAATAATAATACTTTTTGTTTCTTGATAAAAAATTTAAAAAAAAAAAAAGAGGAGAAAGATATTTATAAGAAGCAACTGTTTAATAACTACACCTTATTAAACGGTGGGCTGTCTATATTATATTTTGTGTGTTCAACTTTTTAAATGAAACATGTTCTCCAGTGTAAAACGACATTATCAATTATAAGCAAATTATATTAATTATACAGCTATCCAAATAATGAGTTTAGCTAACTAATTACTGCAGTGGAGCACTAACACATAATCTATATATCGAGAGCTTGAATTTAACGTCGGCAGCATTTGCTTCTGCGATGAGCAATCTCAATCCTGCTATAACATTCGTATTGGCTTTCTCCTTCAGGTACATATATATTTCAGTTACAAATTTTAGTATATTCATTCATATATCTCTAGTGTATATTGCTTGGATATTTCGTTCTAATACTATTAATATTACTACTTCTACTTGTCTCTTCTTAAAAATTCACGAGATGATAACTACTAGTTCATCGGCTTCATTAATTTAGTTAAACATCGTTTTTATAAACGTTCTAAACTACATTTTAGGATCAAATAATAAAATCCAGTTTCCAACATTAATTGCCATAAAAAAACAGTGCCCAAAATCAGTAATGTTCAAAAGAAGTAGGATTAATGGCGATCTATGAAGGCCAATATGAGTACAATAGATGATTATTTTTTTTCAAAAAAAAAAAGAGATAAATATATTTTTGTTAATAATTTTTTAATATATGTGACGTAAAATTAAATACGATTTCAGAATGGAGAAGGTGAACATTGGAAACCTGGCGGGGAAGGCGAAAGTATTGGGAACACTACTTGGTATCGGTGGAGCAATGATTCTAACTTTCTACAAAGGTGTAGAAATTGATATTTGGTCCACAAACGTTGACCTTCTGTATCATGGTCAGCAAAAGATTAGCCACGTGGCACCACCCCAGACTGATTCTAGCAATCGTGTCTGGGGCTGCGTGTTTGCCCTGGGTAGTAGTACGTGTTACAGTCTCTGGCTCATCATTCAGGTAACTTTATTGGTATCCTTGTATAATATTAATTTCTATCTATCACTCGCTAAATTTTGCAAAAGTCTGTGACGTTTGTTTTTTTAGTTTGAATAATAGTTGAAATATTTGTTAAAATCTGAATTTCTGTTCAAATCTGTGAAAAAAAATCCATTAATTCTCATGAATTTCCAATTTATGAATCAACCAGATGATTCAAATGAGTGTTTGAGAGCAAAAATAGGGGGTCAATTGGATTTTAGGGCCCTTTATAATATATATTCAAGTTATGGTTTGTGATTGTTGGGGAGAATTTTGTGAGAAAAGAAATTTTAGAATTTAAACTCTTTATTAGATAAAAAATACTGTAGCAGAACTCAAATTTGGGTTTGAATATAGGAATAAAATTATTTTAGTATCCCGTTTTATAGCGAAACACGCTCTTAGTACACTGTATTTTTTATAATATTAAAATGGTACCTCGATGTTTTTAGAAACATCTTCTGCGTATCCTGAGGTTAATTTTTTAGACATGTAATGTCCAAACTACTCTTCTTATAAATTAAATAGAAATCAATATTTTTTTTAAAAAAAATCTAAAAATGCTTTAAACCATTAAAAAATTTAAAAGAAAATAAAAAAATAAAAAAGTTCATGATTTTTTCCTAGATCTATTAATTTTTTATTAATTAAATAAAATGATAATAAGATCATTTTATATCTCAAAAATCAATTTTAAGGTACTAAAAATATGTTTTTGAAAATGTCGACATACCGCTTTAATATTATCAACAAGACAAAGTATCAAAACATATTTCGCAATAACACAAGATATCAAAATGATTTTATTTCTTGAATATATGTCCCAAACAAGCCTTAAATTCCTATTAAACCTCCCTTTCCGTGACATTCGAAACCTACTTGTTAGTATGAAATTATTTTCAGGTTCGAATTTGCTCACACTTATCTCACTTATTATTGTTTTCAATATGTATCTAAACACAGAGTTAGATTTTATTTTCTATTAAAATTTATATTTTAACTGTATATAGAAATGTCAGTTTAGATTGCAATTCACAACACAATTTGAACAAAAAACTGAAAAAGATCTATCTTAATTCGAACTCGCAAACCAAACAAAATCTAAAAATATTTATGTACCTCGGCCACTGTGTCGGGTGGCATATTTAAACTATATTGATTATAAACGATGATTTTTAGTGCTATATACATCATAAGCAGTTATTCATTTCTTTAAAAATAATTATAAGAAATCAAGAATGGTTTATTGGATTAAATTTTCGAAGTGCCCTCTGATTCAAGATTGATAGAGAAACTTGTAATACTTTTGTTGGCATGTGTTCTCTTCTATTTTCGAGTCCACACATTATCAATATCTTACAGAAAAAAAAATGATTACATAGAAATTTAATGATTATTTTCCATAGTTGGTCACCCATTAAGCATAAAAGTTACTCATTTCTTTAAAAATAATTATAAGAAATTAAGAATGGTTGATTGGATTAAATTTTCCAAGTGCCCTCTGATTCAAGATTGATAAAGAAACCTGTAATACTTTGTTGGCATGTGTTCTCTTCTATTTTCGTGTCCACACATTATCAATATCTTACAGAAAAAAAAATGATTACATGTAGAAATTTAATGATTATTTTCCATATATAGTTGGTCACCCATTAAATATAGAAATTTAATGATGTAGCGTGATAGAAATCTTATCACATTTTTTAATCAACTATCTAATTTATTACAACCGTTATATTAATATCTTACGGTTAGAATAACTATACCCATTAATAAGTATATATCAAAGTACTAACCATTAAACCACGCCAATCTGTATTCTAAATAGATATGATTATACGCGTATACGCATGTGTACGTATCCTAGTTAGTGAAGACCAAAAGAATAATTTCCAGTTTTTTTATTTATTTTTTATTTTCTTATGCCTATATCAACTCTTGAATTTGGCTGTTTTACAGGCTAAAATGAACGAGAAATACCCCTGCTTCTATTCAAGCACAGCTCTTATGTCAACGATGGGAATGATCCAGACAGTAGGTTTTGCCCTCTGCACCGAACGGGATTTGAGTCAGTGGAAGTTAGGTTGGAATATCAGGCTCCTCTCAGTCTCATACTCCGTACGACAACTTCTCAATTCTTATTGTATAAGCTTTAACACCATTACATAATATATATATATATATATATATATATATATGTATATGTGTTGTTGCCAAGACCAGAGAACAAGTAACGGCATTTTACAAACGGATTTGACAAATTTTTGACCACTAAGATCATACAACGGCATACAAAATATGTTGCACTAGTTTTGAGAGATATCTCACTGAGTATTCAGCGAAACGAGACAAATTTTTAAAAACCTATATGAAAAATTGAAATGATTTTTCATCAAATAAAAAAATATTTATGCATTAAAATTATTCAGCATTAACATAATTATAACTTTTTTTTTCCTATAAATAGGGACATTTGAAGTTTTAACGGTAAAATTGAGTTGAAAATATATGAGAGGCCACATTACCCGACTCCGTCACTCTGTATATATGTTTGAATCTTAATATTGATTGGTGGAGAAAAACAATAAATTGGTATGTCTTCAAAAGAAAAAGGAAAAAAAACTTGACATCTTTAGCACATTACAATTGTTTACACATCGTATAGTTCATGTACTGATATAATTTTGTTGGTACATACGACATTGCTTTGATAGGGTGTTATGGCTTCGGGAGTAGCAGTGACGCTCGTTGCGTGGTGTGTGCACGCGAGAGGTCCCGTGTTCGCCTCTGTTTTCAACCCTCTCATGTTATTGCTTGTAGCCATTGCCGGATCACTGGTGCTGGACGAGAAGTTGCACCTTGGAAGGTACATATATATATATATATATAAATATATTAATCATACATGCACACTATACATACAGACTGTTGTTACGCTCTATCTAGGTTGATGGTCCATGTAAAAATAAAAAACGTAATATTTGATGTTAAACATAGCATAATAGTCATTATATTTAAAATTGACAATATATATATCACGCCTTTCCAGCATTAATATAATGTTCTATGATTACGTGTTATATTTTTTACTTTTACATGTTATGTTGGATGGACTCTAAGGCTATACACACATGTATACATAAACAATATATATATATGGATATGCCGTATGTATGTATTATTGATGTTAAACATAGCATAATAGTCATTATATTTAAAATTGACAATATATATATCACGCCTTTCCAGCATTAATATAATGTTCTATGATTACGTGTTATATTTTTTACTTTTACATGTTATGTTGGATGGACTCTAAGGCTATACACACATGTATACATAAACAATATATATATATGGATATGCCGTATGTATGTATTATCAGTCTTCCTCAAATGTGTGTGTACATGTGTGTGTGTGTGTATATA